ACCCAGGGTTGCAGGGTAGGGCTTTCTCTTGCTTGGGTGGGAATTTTACAAGGAGCCTTCGTTGTTTCAAGCTGTTAGAATTATATGGACATAGTGGAGCCGAGCCTTTGTTTGTTTTGGTGGAGTTGAGGGTTGTTTTCAGCAAGAAAAACAAGGAATTTTGGGAAGAAGACTTGATGGGGAAATGTTTGTACTGTTAATTAACCTACTGTATGCATGTTACACTCTGTTGGTATAAATATATAAATACCTCTATACAACTGCAATAAAGTGAGTCCCCAGCACCATGTGTCTTGTAGTGTCTGTGGTGAGATATAGTCACTGAAGTGTGATTTCTCCTGGAATAAGAAGACTACAACAGAGGTACCGAGCTCCTCTACGAGGTTCACATGTAAAGCCCATTCTTTTATGCTGTTCATCCAAAAGAAGGCAAAAACAAAAAGCAATTTAAGTCATTTCCATTTAGTCCACAAAAAGAGGAAGAAAAAAAACATTTAAAAAAGAACCCTTTCCTCTGCTGTAAGCAAAAACGCCTTGCTTCCGGTGTCAATGGATGACATTGTCTTGTCTGTTGTATATTTCTGCTAATGAACAGGTTGTATAGTGCTATCATATCCCCTCTGAGGATAAAGAAAACAATTACACTATTTCTAGTCTTTCCTCATAACTCATAAGGTTTTCCACCCCCTACTAGTTTTGCAATCTGCTTCTTTAAAACTTGTGTTTGAAATTCTACCACATATTCAAGGTGGGATCTTACCATTGATTTGTAAAGAAGCAAACTTATATTTGGAACAAGTGAATTAAAACTCCTTTTTACACACAAAACCGACAGACCGACATTGCATATTGTTGCAAAATCCAAGTAGATCACATTTACTGGAACACCCTGATCTATAGTTCTATTAACTTCTTCATAGAATGTAATTAAGTAAGTTTGGCATGACCTGTCCTTCATAAAACCATGTTGATTCCTGCTAATGATATTTTTGTTCAAAATTAATTCTTGAATATTATCTTTCAAATCTTTTTATCTTTTTATGCTTTCAAATAATTTCCCAACCACAGATTTTATGGATGTAGACTTTACCAAGCACCACATTCCCCTAGTTCTCAAGATTTTACTGTTGGTATTAAGGCTATTGAAGGTCATCCTCTAATTCAATCTACCATCAATAAAGAATGTAACTAGAATTGTCTGTGGGTCTTCTCTAAAATACAATACTGTGTTACAAATAAGATCATCTCCTTCGTGCCCTATTGTGTTTTGATACCCATGGTTGGTTTCTCATAGCCCTACTATTGACTTGGAGACAGCTCAAATACTAGCATGATGTCCTACTTGTTCTTATTGTCTCAAAGTTACTTTACTTCCCCTTTTATCTACCTCGGATAAATCCTACCAGTATGAACCCTACCAGGAATGTGCTGATGCTTTTAACAAAAAAGAGAGTCTGAGAAATTCCCTTCAAATAGACTGTACAATTGCCCAATAGACTTGCTGCCAGGGACTATGCCTCCCAAAGAAACAGTTTATTCTGTCTTTAGTGGAAACTGCAGCAGTACATTGCACATAATTTGAAGAAAACATGGTTTATAAAAAGCTTTACCTTTTCTGTTGAAGCCATTTCTTCTTTGTAACTAAATTGGAAAGAGCCCTGTATAGATTAAAGGAGTCTAAATAAAATGACCAGGTATCAGGAATACCTAGCCTATTCCTCTCATATCCAAATTATGAGTTTTCTATAAAATGGACCTGTGTGGGGCACACAATCTTATCAGAATAAAGGAAGGGCATGAGTGAAAAAAGCTTTGAGCACTTGTTCTTGACACTAGGAGTACCTTGTCATACCACTCAGCTAATGTAATGAAGGCAATGCAGCTTTTCTTTACTATATTATCACTCTTAATATTTTTGAAATGGACACCAAGAAACTCTCTGTATTCTATAATGTCCAGGACCTGTAAAGACCAGTCACCCTAAAGTTGGTAAAAAAATTTCCTTTGGAACCTAACGATGTGTGAGTCAACTGAAAACTAATTCATATATTTTGTTCACACCACATGGATGTCTATCGGACTACCTTTACTAATTTTTTTTTTTAAAACTAATTTTTCCGCCATGATCAAGTCTAGTACGCTTTAATTATTTTAAACAAAATTAAGTATGCAATGTCCAATAATGGCTTATTGATGAAAGTAACCATTGTAGAAAATATAGAATTTCTATCTCACAATGTTTATGTGAGTCAATAAGCCATATTACTGTTTGCACATTGTGATAAATTTTTAATCAATTGGAATAAAGGAAATGGGACATTGCATGTTTAATTTTTGATGTGGGATAGGAGGTTGGACCATCTCTATGAAAATTCCTTCTGGAGGATTGACGTTTGATTCTTTATAAGCAATGCGCTTAGCAGGCACTTAAAAGCAGATACCTTGTTGCAAAATATAACACTCTTTGTTATTCTTCACATGAGAGTACGCTTCGGATTTTGCTACTCATTATATCTTTACCAAAAGAAGTTTCTAAGGTTCAGGCAGCAATACGGGGAAGACCATGAGCTACTGTGTAGCATGTGTGTAAAAACTCTCTCAGTAATCCTTCAACAGTTCATTATGGGAAGACCAGGAAAAGATGAGAGACACTTCCTGGATATCATAGTAACTACTGGAGTAATTTCATAATTCAATTATTTAAGGCAGGGGTGGGCAATCTGCGGCCCTCCAGATGTTTTGGACTACATCTTCCTTGATGCTTTTCTAGCATTATGGCCCTAAGAGCATTATGGGAGATGTAGTCCAAAACATCTGGAGGGCCGCAGATTGCCCACCCCTGATTTAAGGGAAAAGACGGAGTTTTGCAGGTATTTCTGTTCCAAGCATCCAAACAATATAACATATTATAGGGACACTATAGTTACCAGAACAACTAGAGCTTATTGAATTTGTTCTGGTGAGTAGAATCATTACCTTCAGGCTTTTTGCTGTAAACAGTTTATTTTCAGAGAAAATGCAGTGTTTACATTACAGTCTAGTGATAACTCCACTGGCCACTCCTCAGATAGCTGTTAGAGATCCTTCCTGGGTTGTGGCTGCCTAAAATGCATCCAAACATTCAGTATCTCCTCCCTCTGCATGCAGACACTGAACTTTCCTCCTAGAGATTCATTGATTCAATTCATCTCTATGAGGAGATGCTGATTGGCCAGGGCTGTGTTTGAATCATGCTGGCTCTGCCCCTGATCTGCCTCTTTGTCAGTCTCAGCCAATCCTAATGAGAAGCATTGTGATTGGATCAGGCTACCACTTCTGATGATGTCGGCAGACTGCTTGTTTTTCTGAGTCTAACAGCATGCAGAGTTACAGCTTCAGGCTTGAATATAATTTTACTATATTTATTATTATTATTATTATTATGATATTTATAGAGCGCCGTCAAATTCTGCAGCACTTTACAATGGGTGGACGAACAGACATGTAGTTGTAACCAGACAAGTTGGACACACAGGAACAGAGGGGTTGAGGGCCCTGCTCAATGAGCTTACATGCTAGAGGGAGTGGGGTAAAATGACACAAAAAGGTAGGGATAGTATTAGACTAGGGACAGTTGCAGAAGAGGAATCAGTCAGGAGCTATTTATGGAGGCCCAGGGGGGCTAGATGGTGGTTTTAACACTACATGGTCAGGAATACATGTTTGTGTTCCTGACCCTAGAGTGATCCTTTAATAATTGCATATGGACAATCTTGCAATCCAAATGCCATGTATGACAGCGGCATTTATTGTTCTACGTCTTATGTATGTATGACTTTTCGAAACAATGAGAATGGACGTGTTGCAATGCTGGCTGCAAGGATTTAATGACAAGCTAGCAATAACTAAAATAGCTTTCAATAATATTAGTGATTACCATCTGCTTCCATACTACAGAACTTAGGGCTATAAAGTCGCAATATATTCTATGGAGAAAAATACATCTAGTCTAATTAAAGCACTGAAATCTAATTTAAACATGGTGTATATAGTTTTCAATACATTCTTGTGACATTTGACAAGTCAGCTGTAGGTAAACACTAAAGACACCTTGCTCAGATGATCTCAGGTGAAGTATGCATGCAATGAGTAAACTTTTATTGTGTCCTCGTGGAGTTCTTATGGCAATGAAATTAAAAATGCTCTTTTCCGTGATGCCTAAACCATTTGCAAAACAGTAAATGCTAAGTAGTGACCAGTATCAGTGGAGGCATACATAAGTAACATGCAGAAGAAAAATGCAGGGCTGTATCAATGAAATCTATCTATATTATTTTAGCCTCAAACATCTACTGGCTATTGGCATTAACAGTGCTTAAATGACCACTATAGTGCCAGGAAAACAAACTCGTTTTCCTGGCACTATAGAATCTTTGGTCCCCCCCACCCGCAGGGTCCCACTCCCGCCGGGCTGAAGGGTGAGGAAGGGGGTTAATCACTTACCTTTGTCCAGCGCTGGGCTCCCTTGGCTCTGGGGACTCTCCTCCCTCTTCCGACGTCGGCGCTGCATGCGTGGCAAGAGCCGTGCGTGCATTCAATAAGTCCATAGGAAAGCATTTCTCAATGCTTTCCTATGGACGTCAGCGTCTTCTCACTGTGATTTTCAGAGTTAGAAGCACGGAAGCACCTCTAGCGGCTGTGAATGAGACTCTGAAACTGCTATGTTTACAACTGCAGGGTTAACATTAGAGGCACCTGGCACCCAGACCACTTCATTGAGCTGAAGTGGTCTGGGTGCCTATAGTAGTCTTTTAACTTTGGATTTTGAAAGAAAAACATGGAAACTATCCCTGTATTTTGCCAAAAAGAACTGCATAGAACTAATGTAAAACTCAAATTGTGCATTATAATTGCATACCTAAAAGTTACATATATCAAAATGTATATGACCATCATAAAAGACTTATTTACTTTCAACAGCATTTTGAAAAATACAGACACACTTAAATTTGTAATAGCCCCTGTTTTATTTTACAAAGATACCTAGATTTTGGGTTTTTTTTTGTTTTTTTCTTAAATGGTGCTTGGTGTTGAATGCAATTTGTATCAAGTGTTTACAATGATTTCTTTCATTAAAAGTAATGAATGGAGAACAGGTGTTAGGAAACATGGTAATAAATTAGAATATAATTTACAAAAAGCAAACATTTTAGTAACAGTGTACCAAATTAATACTGAATACAAATTAATAAGAAACTAATCACAATAATACAAGGGTAATTTCATTCTGTAATGTTAGTGATATCTATATGAAGATCCAATTGATTAATAAAGTTCGTAAGGAAATTGACCATTTCAAGATGAACGCACAAATAATAATTAGAATAATAATAATAATAACAATAATAATAATAATAAAAATCCAATGGTCGCAAGAAGTGTTAAAAAAAAATGTCAGCACCATAGATTTCTGATCTTCGCACAAAAAAATATCAATTTCTGGCACATAACAAAATGAGCCATGCCTTTTTATTTAAAGATAAAGATTTTGCAGTTTTACCATCTGAGAGTAGCATCTCTGTAGCAGCAGTAATGTATTATATCATAAAATAATGTTCGGCCATGTTCTTTAAAAAAAATTTAAAATAATAATTATAATAAAAGCTCATTTCTTTCTTTGCAGATCTCAGTCTCATATGGTTTATTTTACAGATTGAAGTGTTTTCTATGCTTTGTTAACGTTTAACAATTCAATTTTATGTAGTGCCAAAGAGTTCTTTAAATTCCGACCTCTGTGCTGTTTTATTTGTAACTGAAATATCTGACTCCCTATTTTTTTTAGCACCAAGGAGGAAGCAGAAAAAAATGTTTGTGAAAACACAGACTTTACAATGTTACTATTCATTTCTTCTGAGGTAAATGATTGCTTTCATTTGAAACAGGTTATTTAAAGAAAAAGGTAATAAAGGCAAGCATGACTATGTGTCACTTTTTAATATTACTCGTACTGGGGAAGAATTTTGGCAGAAGATTCTGCAGACTAGATTAGGCAAATCGACAGTAAACAGCTGTGAAACATGGAAAATAGTGAATCGCAATTTAAAGAGTAGCACCAAGAGGTAGCATCATTTTTTTGCAGATTGTCAAAGACTGTTTATAAAAAGATTACAATTATTATCCTTTCTTGGTAATTGGCATTTGAAAATAAATACAGACAGTGAACATCACACAATTGTCATCTCATTTTATCTTTACTGAAGCTATTCTCATACTTTTTTTGCTCTTTAAATGTGTTAACCGTTTGATTGCTGGACAGCTCGGTAAAATCCTACAGTTTGGTGAAATGTTAGGTCTTCATACAACCAGTTGTATTTAGTAACTATTAGCACACACAAATGATTATCGAAATAAAACATACTCATTTATGATACTACAGTCTCACTGCTCAATTTTCTGCCATTTAGAAGTTAAATCACTTTTGTTTTCATTTATGCAGCCCTAGCCACACCTCTACTGGCTGTGACTCACATCCCCCATGAAAAAATGGTTTCATGTTTAATCAGATGTTATAGCACAATGTGTTTACTTTAGAAGTTATTATCACATGCTCTGTTAATTAAACTTTAATCACACACAATAGGCTGTTGTAGGCTGTAGCATGCTATTAACAAAGCAGGAGGTGGATTTTAAATAAAACATTATGTAAAAACAGAAGTTAAAAATCAATGGCTCTTTTTCAGGATGTGTTTAGGGAGATTCTGTGAATATCAGCCGGGCGGTGTGGCTAGGGCTGCATAAACAAAGTGATTTAACTCCTAAATGGCAGAGAATTGAACAGTAACACTTCATGGATATGGTCTATACAGCATAACCACTTAATTTAGCTAAAGTTGTTTTGCTACTGAGAGTACCCCTTTAACATGTCACTTCATTATTATAAATTGTAATTAACCTGTAATTAATGTAATTCATGAAACAAGTTATTTTTTAAGTCTAACATACCTATCACAATACCACAATATTGCAAACTTATTTAAATTATTACACGCACATCAGATTTTTAAGGCTCAGCTTCCCATTCAGTTATATGACTGACTACATTTTACTGGTTATTAATTGAACTGGTGGATATGAATTTAACAGACATGTGCATACATTACAATACTGATTTAGGCTAGGGAGCTTCCTAAAATGGTCCAACATTGACTTATCGTCCATCTATTAATCGCCACCCCATCTGAGTTACAGCTATGATACTCAGGGCTCTATATGTTAAGCAATGTTTTGTTCTATGCTGACATCTGTTTTACAAGGCTTAAATCAAGATAGGGAAAAAAATATCCAACTAGACTGAGATTTTCCCCAACTTTCTATATAGATCAACTCTATTGTCAATTCACCACGATTCATTGTTTAGTGAAAATGGCTTATTGTACATAAAATGAAATTTTTACCAACAGCATCTATACACACACACAGACTAGTTAACTTTGGAACCCCATATTTATGTGAACTTGTTTTCCCAGCCAGTTTGAGCATCATGGGAAATGTAATTATCACACCTCTGGAGCACAGAGGTTAACTATCACTGATATTCACTTTGTAGGACATCAACTGATTACTAATTTTACAAATAAAACATCTGCTAAACTGAACTGTGGTCTGCAAACTCTGCAGCTATCAAGTCCACCTAGTTACACCTTCAAGCACGTTGACATGGAACCTGCAAATGGAGCTGAAACATAGTTTACTTAAGTAATATTTGCAGTCTTTCACCTGTATCACATAGGTAAAATGCTACTAAATGTAGTATAGAAATGAACAGAAATAAATCTAGAAATTCAGCTACCAAATTGATGATGTTCAGATGGAAGCATTTCTTACATGGAGATGTATCATAGCTGTAGTTCTAAGACAGCTGGAGATCTATTTTTTAACCACTCTTACAATAAAGGGTCACTCGCATGGCACATTGCTGCCCTCTCATATAATATTAATCATGGGTTAAAAAGTATTAAAATAGATTTTGAATCACTATATATCAGTGATGGCTAAAAGTGACAACCCCAACCTTGGTGAGTCATGATTCGCAGGATGGTTAACCAGACTCCAGATTGGTTGTGTACCCTAGGAGATACTCAGGAACACCCTGTACAATACAGTGAATATCTGGTTTAGTTACCACTGATATGGATCATATGCATCTCAAATGCTATTACGCTTAACCCCTTAAGGACACATGACATGTGTGACATGTCATGATCCCCTTTTATTCCAGAAGTTTGGTCCTTAAGGGGTTAAATTTAGATCACTTTTACACAGTTATTTAAATCATGTAATAATGTCTATTGAGAGAAAACAAAGCAAAACCATACAATGAGATCAAGCTGTAGTTTTACAAAGAGAGGATACAGACACTGGTCACTACTGGTCATACTGAATATTAAGCAGTTAAAGGGACACTGTAGTCATTATAATAATTTCATTGAATTGGTTATGGTGTCTGGAGTCCCCTGGAACAGTTCATCCATTTAGTTTTAAACCATTTTCGAGCAGTTTAACACTAAATAATGGCCCTTTGATCCTGGCCTGTACTGTTTAGGTCTGGTTAGGGCAGAGGTTACATACTTCCTTCTAACCATAGCAATTCGTACCTGCAGTGTGCACTCTCAGCCAATCACAGTTGCTAATTGCTGCTCAGGCTAATGCTTCCTCATTGGCTCAAGCAATCAAGTGGTGCTAGGGACTTAGCTTTAAAACATTGACAATGCTGTAATGCTGCATGGAAGGATGACACAGGAGACACCAGGCACTATAACCACTTTAATGAGATGTAGCAGTTACAGTGTCATTCAAAGTAGAAATAGGATAATTTATAGATGTGGTATCAAAGTTTTCGAGTACCAATTTGCATTTGTATCCTGTAATTATTGAACTGCTTAAAAACTCAATATTTTATTTCATGATACATGCACCAACATAAGTTGACAATCATAAATGAATTGCATTAAAATATTTTAACAGGATATGAAAAGGTCATCCAAAGCAAGCATTTTTCAACTCTCTCCACCTTTCAGTCAGTTAATAGTCTGACATATATATAACGTAGTGTTCGAACACTGGAACAAGTATAAAAATGTCTGGTAGGGAATGATCTGGGCATATATCAGGACAAATGTGCAAGCTGTCATTTGATACATAGATGCCTGGTTTCAATCAGGCAACTGTATTTCATCTATGTTGGCCTGTTAACTACATATGGGCATATTTTTCACATTTAGCATCAAGTTTGGAAATCTGTATCCAAAACTCAACGTGCAGATTCATTGCAGATAACCAAATGGGATGGTGATCCCGATCATCTTGGCAGATTGTAATCTAATATACTTAGAGCACATATTAAAAGCTACATTTTTCTCTCTGGGTAACATTTTCATAACGTTTCTATAGGACTAAGATACAACGGATACGGTGTATTTGTTCATCTGTTTTAGAGCTTCTATATAATAAATACAACAAACATTCTATATATGTTCTTTATGTACATTTTTCTCATCTCTGAACTGCAATCTACACACAAGATTGTGTTTTCTCCTTATTTCATGTGCAAGCTGTATATTCTGTGTGTAATACTTTGAACTGTTATCGGATGCTTTTACAGACAGCGGACTCAAATTGTACTTTGCTTAATGGATGCTTATACATTCTTGCAATTCACTTATGATTATTGATAGATCGATAGATAGATCAATAGATAGATCGATAGATAGATAGATAGATACAGACAGACAGACAAATAGATAGAGACAGTGGAAGAGAGCATGAGATGAGATACATAACAGTGAACGGTGTACTGTGGGAAAATAAATGCCACCAATGGATTCTGGAGATATCATGTTAAACCATAAAACCAGAGGACGAGTGGTTTATAAATGTCTCCACAACCCTAGGAATTTGTTATTTTCCCATAATAGGCATTTCATTATTACTTTTATTATATACCCTTACTTTTATGTTATATCCTATTTTCATGTTAGGGTTCGTATTAATGAATTAAGGCAGTGTAGGATTAATGTTTAGTGATGGTGTTAGTGAAGTAGGTAATATTTATTGTAGTGTGTAGGCTAATGTTTAGTTTATTTTAGGGGTTTAAGGGGGTACTTAACTGCAAGATCAGGACTGCGACATACATGACCCAATGTGCTGCCTGATGGGATTAGATGGAGTTACAGTCACATGAAGCAGCAATTTCAGGAGTCATCAGTAAAATGTCAGCAGATGCTGCTCTGGATTATAACTCTCACTAATCTGTCTAAGACTAGGTCCCCCCGCTGTAGAGTGAACCATGGATGATTACATTTTCATTTGGATGACAACACAAATAACACAGATGTATACGTATAGGTTATAGGTAATACCTTAGGCATATGTAATCATGACAAACTGGCATATACATATACTGTGACACTAAGCCACTTGCCACTCTATTCTAAGCGAGTTACACTAATATGCACAAACAGAAAAAAGGCATTGTGTAATTGTGTTGCATTTGGTGTAGGTCAGACTTATAGTTATGAATATTTGCCTAACTAATCTTTTTATTTTTATTACTTTTATTTATAATATAATAGTAATAATAATTAGTTTTGCAGTTTACGACTCTCCTCCCCTCCGAACTTGTAGTGTTTCTATTTTGGGTTCCAAATGTTCTACTATACAGGATGTCATGATAATAACAAAGAGCTGACAATTGGGCTAAACTCCCAGAAATCTTTGCTGTGCCCATAAAGCAATGCTGAGACTTTATTTAGAAAGTTATGTGAGCCGGGTCACTTGCTGCTTGGCAGAAGCTTATTGTAGTCTAGGGATTTGCAGCAAATACAGAAACTTCAGATGTAAGTATCTTTTAAATTATATTATACTTACTATTGTTTTCGTATATTTTGAATGCATTCACTTTATTATGCTCTAAATACGAAAGGCTCAACTCCAAACTGAAGTGTCCCTTTAATGTTTACTTAGGTATAATTAATTCTAAATTAACTAAAGCAGAACAATTGAAATTTTGATTTGGTGCACATGGAGTACAAATGTGATAAAGTGCTTATGGACAGAAAGATGTGTGATACCCTGCAGGTATAGCACCTGTATCCTAATATCTATTGCATATTAGGATATGTATACATTTTATATTATACACATGTTATTGCCCTTAACAAGTATTTTAAATACAAAAATCAACTATGTATATATACCGTTTTTTTGGAAAAAAGGGGAGTAAAGAAAAATATTAGGTAGAAAAGGTTATGGTGCATTCTTATAATGTCTACCGAGATTAAGCTAATTGCCCATATTCCTGACTCTTCCAGTGTTTGTGATCCAATCACAGACTCAACCAAGAAAAGTGTTGGAGTATTCCATTTGCCCAACTCTCTATCCAACCCTGACATAGACTATATCTATTTACCAAGTTTAAACATAAATTAAAATTTATATTCGCACTTATCATTACACTGCTCCAAATATACTTTGTGGAATAATATATAATTGGGTTTTCCAAATGTGGTTTACTATTCAATAAACAATATGATAGTGATATGTTGGCTATAACTAATGTGTCTCACAGCTTAGTAGGTACATATTTACGGTCTTCATCTCTTGTTGAAAACAACTGTAAAGATTCTTGCGGTTTAGTATTTAAGCCTATTTCCAAAAACCAGTAAGGAATATATATCAGTTCTAAATGCATTAAACTAGTGTGTGGTAATCAATTAAAACATCTAATTTATCAATATGATGTTGGGAACCAAAAGAGAGCTATTAAAATTGTACAAACTTCTCAAACCCCCTTCCGCTAACATTTTAAATATATAATCTAATGAAAAACATTAGCACCAATAACAATTATTTTCATGTAATTTCACAACACCAATAGAACAAACTGCTGGCATGTATCAATATATAGTATATAGGTTAACTAAATAATAACCTCACCTAAGTATGGACACTTACTTTAGGCATTAGTTGATGCACCCCTGAATACTGACACTTGTATTCCTTTACTATATATATATATATCTCCGAAGAAAAGCACACATGAAAATTACGCACAGAAAAAAATCCACTGACATAAATGCGCGCAAGAAAACTGCCTACGAGGAAAATTGCCCATGCAGAAAAATACCCAGACAGAATAATATGCACATATAGTAATTTTCAAGTAAAGGTAATGATGTATGCGCAATTTAAAGTACCATAGATATATATATAATTGTGAATAACCATTTATATTCCATTTATGAGCATGAATAGGTATTACCCATATTTTACATTATCAATATCTTATGAATAAAATATTTCATATTCATACACAATTTGCATTGTGATTTTATCGAGTATAATGCAATTATTATTTTGCTACACTAGAAATATACTAATTAATTACGCTTATGTCTTGCCTCATTTTGCTTCTGGCAACGTTTGCTGCTGATTTTTGAGACAATATTTTGTTGGTTCTTGAACTATGTTGCCATCTTTTATTTTTATATTGAATGGCACGTTATAGAGCAATTCTGTCTGCATCACTCCATTGATAGAGTGAAAAAGGAGATATTCAATCCCCATTTATAGCTCATAACTTGTTTTTCTGGCTTCTTGAAAATCAGTCACAAAGTCTCATTCAAATCCCATTTTCTTTCACACATCATGTGACACCAATGGACACTGCCTACAATAAAGTAAAACGGAAATTCACATAGCCCAACTGTGTCACACAAATATTGCTCCATACCGCATGTTCCCTAATTCAATGTGCTATGTAAACATTAGCTCTCGCCATATAACATCACAATCTCACCGACTGCACTTTAATCTACCAAGGACCAGGTAACTTGCAAATCGTTTACCTCAAACCCCAGCTCATTGGAGGAGCGCTGAACAGTGAACAACCAAAATTGATTAACCTTTTACCATGGGTAAATATATACGATATGTAAAAACAAAAACTGAGAGCCAGGATTCTAAGGCTCTAGAAAAGGTGAGCTCAATACTGAAGCTACTATTGATAGAAGCTACTATTGAGGAGGAAAAAGTCTGTATATACTACACAATTGTTTTTTTTGTTTTCTGGTTTGAGTTCTAGATTTACCAGAAGAAAGATGTGATGCTGCCCTAAAAGCATAAAAGCATTAATTACGGAGCCAGTATATTCAGGCTCTCATACACAAAAAATAAATAGTTACCATCTACACTACATTTGTTTCTCTCTTGTTTTTACATATCTGGTCTATGTTATATATCCCATATTTACCAATTGCAAAATGGTAAGCATTTTGGCTGCTCCCTATTCAGAGCTCCACTATTGTACATACGTTTTATGACGTGTACCTACTATTATAAGTTCCCACAGAAGTGTTTTTGATCTGCTATTTATAGTTATCACTTTAAGCACTTAATAATTGGCACACTTCCTCCTATTGGAGTTTTTTTTGCAGTGCATAGGAACATTACACACAGGCTTGAGGTGCCCTAACAGCATTCCTCATGCTCATCATCATGTATTACAATTGGGGTACTCGTAGAAACATGCAGAATTTTTCAATAAAAGAATAACAAGGAAGCTATGTTGATTAATGCTAGAGAGGGTAGTTAACGTTATGATAGTAACATAAAACAGTGGTTTGTGTGCCACTGGCTGGGACCTGGGTAGGCTGATTGTGTTGTCAAGCATGCAGAGCAATGTTGGAAAATGCTATCGCATAGTGCGCTCAGTTGCAGGAGTCTGGGATTAGTGGTAGGTTGTGCAGTGCTTTACATTCTTCCTAGTCGGGGTGCATGAGGTTTAGCGCAAAAGGAATACAGCATGTCAAATCTGCGGGAGGGTGCCCTGGTGTTAGCTACAATTGGTCCTCAAGCACTGGTTCTCTAAAATGACATGAGTCGCTAACATGAAATGCCTTTCATAGTGCTGCATAAGGAAGGGCAACTAGCTAAGATGGATAAAAGCAGGCTAAGAAATACTAGGCAAACTACAGGTAGCACTATGCCAACATTATGTTACTTTACAGTCCCAGAGCGTGGACTAGGTTGGTGCCACTTGGTTAGAGTCGCTCAGCTTATGCCAGCTGTCGTCTTGGTCAGGGTATTGGTGCTAGGAGGGTCCCAGGATTCTGTAGAGGGAGAGCGTTGGGGAACAGACCTCATGCCCCAGGCCGATTTGCAGGCCAGCATCTTTGATCCACGGACTTGGGGGCTCAAAGTCCAAGTCCTGCCCCATATTGGAGAGACAGAAGGCCCTGGTGGTGTGTCTCCATTGACGGTGGGCGATCATGCCCACCAGGGAGTACCAAAACTGCGCCAAGGGGTCTGTGACCCTAGATCCCTGCACTGGTATTTCCTCTATTTAACCTTACAAACATTTACACTCAGGAGCATTAAAGCCCTCTTAATAAACATACCACTACTGTTTAGCAATTAATTAGTATACCTATAGCATAGTAAAATTATTATTTAATTATACTCAATAAAATCACAATGCAAATTGCTACATATGAATATGAAATAGTTTAATCATAGGATATCGATAACAATATAAAATATAGTTAATACCTATTCATGCTCATAAATAAGAGATCATGGTTATTTACAATTCTATATATCGATGGTACTTTAAATTGTGACTTCATCTTCACCATTACTTGAAGATTACTAAATGTGCATATTATGCTTTGTGGACATGTTTCCATGTGGGCCTTTTTCAGTGCATGCAGTTTTCCGTATTGAGCATTTAGGACAATGGGCTTTTTCTGTAGGCAATTCTCATGTGTTTTTTCTTTCATAGAATATATATATATATATATATATATATATATAGCTTCACAGCAGCGTTGCAGAAAATGCTTAAGAGATCAGAGCAAAAGGCAGAATGAATAACAAATACAATTTCTTTATAATTGCTTTTTTTTTTTTTTAAATAACATTTGAGAAGCCCATTTTTTATAAGTTAAACTGTGGTGCTGTAAATTGAGATAAAAGTAATTATATGTTTTAGCTATGACTTAAGTATTTCCTTTGTTTTGTAGTCCAAGTCACAACCTCTACATTTGAAAAACAGTTTTAAATATATTTCAGTGTCATTTATTAAATCCATACTAAAAATGGTTGAAGGAGGTAAGCAAGGTCTAAGTGTTGGACTCTGAAGAACACAAGCGTACCCCATAGTCCTCTGCTCTGTAGGGCCTGTTTCAACATTTTCCCATATGCGTTTTCCCCTCCTTTTCTGGTGTCCAGCACTTTGGATAATAAATTCACTTCACAGAAGTTAAATAATAATGAAATCCTGTCAGTTGGAGCTGACGAGTGGTTATGTTTTACACAGGCTTTTTTTTTCTTTTTCAAGGACATCCATTTCATTCCTTAGTGTCATTCTCCTTAACAGACAAATTTCCACAATGGAATTATAACATTCTGTGTTTCTCTTTTTCTCTCTCTCTTGCTGTGGGTCAATGTCCTTGGCACGTTTTACAACACATCTGTCTGAAGTATGCTCGGCTGCAGAACTTGAACTTCAGCACCAGCGGGCAATAAGCCACTTTGTTCACATCTTTGCACTCTGAAGAAAAAAAAAAAAAAGAAGCATCACAAATGAATTAGAATTAATTAGAAAACTATTAATTAGGTCACTGAAACATTGAGACTTCTGTTTTTAAATTATAGCATTTACCGCAGGCCAACATTTCTACTGCATTTAACCCCTTAAGGACACATGACGTGTGACATGTCATGATTCCCTTATATTTCAGAAGTTTGGTCCTTAAGGGGTTAAAGCGCACAGGTCTGCATATCTTATATTACCATTTAGGAGGATTTTATAGCGCACCTGTACATACATTATGTAACAGATCATGTTTAAAAGTATTATAGTTTTGATGTAAAATTATTTATATTTATTATTGAAAAATTAGAAAAATAAATATAAAAATTACATTGAGTGGGGAGTCAAGAATCTGTTCAACAGCACTCTAACATAAAAAAATAAATAAAAATATATATATATATATATATATGCACACACACATAAAATACAAAAAATCCTGCACTCCTACTAAACAAGAACAAGAAAAGGTCCTTAATACTACCCGGTGCTCTGCCACACTCATAGATAGACATCCATAATAAGAAAGCACTCCAGGGAGGTCAAAAAGGAAACTTTCCTTTATTAATTTTCAAAAAGTGATTTCCACGAGTAAAATTACTGAGTCAGTGTTTCAGTTCTGTATGCAAACTTTCATCAGGACCAATATATATATATAGTTATTAAAGGACCACTATAGGCACCCAGACCACTTAAGCTTAATTAAGTTGTCTGGGTGCAAGGTCCATCTAGGATTAACCCTTTCTGCTGTAAACATAGCAGTTTCAGAGAAACTGCTATGTTTACATATGGGTTAATCCAGCCTCTAGTGGCTGTCTCATTGACAGCCGCTAGAGTCACTTCCGCGCTTCTCACTGTGATTTTCCAGTGAGAAGACTCCAGCGTCCATAGGAAAGCATTGAGAATGCTTTCCTATGAGACTGGCTGAATGCGCGCGCGGCTCTTGCCGCGCATGTGCATTCAGCCGATGACGAGAAGGAGGAGGAAAGTCCCCCACCCGGCGCTGAAAAAAGATGGTAAATTTAACCCCTTCCACCACCTAGAGCCCGGTGGGAGGGGGACCCTGAGGGTGGGGGCACCCTCAGGGCACTATTGTGCCAGGAAAACGAGTATGTTTTCCTGGCACTATAGTGGTCCTTTAAGGTTGGAATGTTTCTTTAAGTGATTATGATGAGATCTTTAGTTTAAAAGAAATAAGTAAGATATGGTCTTCAAGAAATTGTTTATTCTGATACAACATTTTTATACTAACTGACCAAACACACCTCCTTAATGTACCTTTTGTTTAAAAAAACCCCCAAAAAAACACAAACTGGATATGACACTGTTATAGTGATAGTTTACATCTTATAGAAAGATAAACCATAAATTAGATAATTCAATGTCTTGAAATTAAAACACCCACTTGATTTAAGTCTGGTTGGCCAATTTAGACAATAATGAACTGCTTTATCTATTGTGCCACTTTCTACAGAACTACAATATTTCTCTGTAAATGTCATTTCCATTAGATAAGGTTGAAAAACATCTGTGTCCCTCTGTAAATGGACCTAAATTATGCAACACCTACCATAGCTATTGGCTAAAACCATACCATAAAAATGTCATCCACAAAGGGACACAACAATAAATACACTTTTAAAGTGTATTGTCAACTACAAAAGCATCCGCTACATTTGGGGTGTTACAACCGGCTGTAAATTTGCAGAGAACAAAGGTTGTTACCAAGTTATGCACTATATTTACTATCCTGCCCTCAGAAGCCAGTCTATATCCTCCTTTTTACGGCAGTTTAATTCATAATAAATAGCTTTTTCAAAAGCATTCATGCTCTAGAGTTCAAGTTACCAGGTCTAACATTTTAAAAACAAATGTGTTCCTGTTTTTATTTACAGCCATAATACACTGCTTAACCCTATTAAATTTTTTTATTTTTTTAAATATCTGATAACAAATTATTGTGGAAGCCATTCATAGTAATTCAGGTTTTTGTTTGTCCTATATGAACAACTGCATAAGTGTTATACGTGTCCATTCTGCTTGTTTGTTGTTTTGATTTTTACAAAACTGGTGATGGTTTTCCAACATATGGTGGTACATTTAGCTATGAGAAGAACACAAAATTATAACACGATGACAGCAATACTCCTCTCCAACTGAGTGTCAAAAATAAAAACTTCAAAGCATGTTTCCTAATAAAATATGGGGAAAATGTTGGGTCATTTTGACAAAATGTTTAACGATATCAATTGTTCCAGATTTACTCATCTGTTCTAGAAGACGGTTAAAAGGCTTTAAAGTAAGTCCTAATTGGATGAGTGACAATATTGTAAAATGTTTTCAAAACTAAAAGATAAGGAAAGTATTTTATTCTCTTATAAACATCTTATTTCGTTTAAAAAAAAAAAAAAGCTTAACAGTATACAAATGAAGAAAGGAAACAGAAAAAAAAAATAGATTTATTTGCAGGCATTTGTGAGTTCCCTGCAGATCTCAGGTGACCTTCAATCGGTAGGAGATATGTCATTTGGAAATGCTTTGGAGTAGCATATTTGGCAAAAATGTCAACGAGATGTTGAACGTAACATACATTAACAACCATTACACTTGTGCATGGGAAAAATGTGGACCGCAAAAATGTGAACTGCAAAATATAAATATGTATGTTCTTTGCAGTACACCGATCGGTGCATTTTCACCACCATTCGGTTCACAGATCAAGACATAGGTAACCAATAGAAGAGGTGCAGAAAAAAAATAGATAGATATATTAAATATAAATATAATATAATATTTAAATATATATTTATTTTTTTATTGTCCTCCTTCTTTCCCTCTATTGGTCACTTCTCACTTGACCTGTGAATAAAATCAAAATTTAGTCAGTGGACACTAACCATCAATCGCATTTTTTTTCCCAACAAACAAGTTTATTTGGGACCATGGACAAAGCTCTGAATCAAGAAACAAAACAAGATAGTTTTGTCCACTGTCTGTTTAATTTGTTTTATGATTCATCCATTCAGCGTTTTAGAGTTCAGGGATTTGCATATAAAATAATTTTCTGAATGTATTCCATTTCTTACTTATGTGTTCCCCCCAAAGGGTTAATTCATACCCCAATAATTAAACAAATCCTTGTGCCCACATACACTGAACAGATCACATTTAGAATGTACATAGGGTTGCCATGCGTAGATGGGGTTTAGTATTCACTGAAACACATATGGGGGTAGTAGTAAACAGAAGGATCGCTTGTAGAGCTCCTGTTTTTTGTTGCAACTGATGCTCTTCAACTTATTGAATATATAGAGGGCATTCCAGGGACCCCATGTACTAGGCATGTTTGGAATTGATGTCATGTTTATAACCTGTAATAATGGGAAGGGAAATCAGTCCATGATCTCTATGCAGATTTTACAACAAGATTAAGCACAAGGTGACCCAAGGCAGCCGCCTATGGCCCAGGAGATTTACAATGACCTTGAATCTATCAATTTGATTTGTCCCATTAACCATCCCTACATGCAGAATGAAAGTGGGGCACAAAAACTGGTCACCTGTTTTGGTCCCTGTGTGATCTTAATCCTTCTCTTGCAGAGAAAGAGGAGGACAGTTTGTACATTGTGTGATATGTGTATTCATGGCAGTGTAAGCCAGAACTAAATAAAGCAGGGCAGGATATCTCTTACTTATAAAACAACTTTGACTTTTAAAAGAAGCTGTTTGGGTAATGTGTAAGTTTATTTACTTAAATATTTTATTTACCATAAATAAAACATTTGAAAAATATTTTTAAAAAAAATAAAATATATATA